AAATCATATTGAATGGATCGGACATCTAGCAAAAACCTGCCCCGATACTAATAATCGTAGAGCCGCATTCAATAACTGCAGTGGGGAGAAGAAACTGAGAAATCGTGCAAGTGTTGTAACAATGGTAACAGTTGCAGTCCTAGCGAGACCGAAGAAGTGGAAAGATCGTGCAAGTGTTGTAACATTGCCAATTTTAAAGGCGAAGAAGTGGAAAGATCGTGCAAGAGTTGTAACAATAGCAATTTTAAAAGCGAAGAAGTGGAAAGATCGTTCAAGCGTTGTAACAATGGCAGTTTTAAAGGTGAAGAAGTGGAAAGATCGTGCAAGTGTTGTAACAATGGCAATTTTAAAGGCGAAGAAGGGAAAAGATCGTTCAAGCGGTAGCAAAATTAGCAACAATGGCAATCTGAAAGAGACGCAGAAGTGGAAAGATAATGCAAGCTTTGAAACATTGGCAACAGTACCAATCTTAGAGATGACGACCAACTTTCACAGTGCCTTGGAAGGAAAGCATATGCGGGTTCTGGTATACGGAAGTCAGTCATGGACAGTCAGCCATTTAGTGAAATATCGGAAAGGGGTTTATGACGAGAACAATAAGTTGAAATGAAAAAATTTAAATTTATTTATGATGGGAACAATAACTGCGGATTAAAAAAAAACATTATTTATGATGGAGCAATAACTGCAGATAAAAATTACATTATTTATGATGGGAACGATAAATGCGGATACAAAAATAACTATATTTATGATGGAAACAATAACTACGAATACAAAAATAACTTTACTTATGATGGGAAAAATAACTGCAGATTAATTTATTTTTTCCTAAACCCGTAATGGTGATATCGTTAACTCTCAAACAATAGTGGCAACAGCGTTGGTAACAGAGAAGCAACATTATCTAGGCATGCAATGACGAGGGTCAGACTGGAGAACGTCACAATAAGCAGAAGGCCCGCTCTCATGTGTATTCGGCATATAGATTTTTAAAAAAAGTAAAGGACCCTTTTCCACGCATTTAGGCGTATAGGGCATATAGGGCTAGACCTATAAATTGTTATAGACCAATTGGCACAAGATGGGTGATGTGGTCAGCATCACGCCGGCCGCATTTACTTTCCGGGACTGCACCCGGTACCCACTCAAGACTAGGTCGACCGCTTTTAATTCCCAGGAATTTACCTGGTACCAACTCAAGGCAACAGACGCCGACATGCATGTATAGAAATCCTTGTTTAAATAATTGGTTTGTACATGTCACGATACTTTCAGTTTAGCTCACATCAAACACAGGGAACACTCAAATCCCCAAGAAAGTCAAATATTATAGGGGTGTTAAGGTTGGGGTTATGGTCAACTTTATTGTTAGTCTGTGTTCATTTCAAACAGTAACATCCCTATAATATTGAACTTATCAAGGGATTTGGGCAATCATTATATTTTCAGTTTCGTCCTTTTTAAGGACGAAATTTTTTGTGATTTGAAGCCCCACCCTGGCTTTTGCCAGGGGCCGCAATATAGGCAGGCCATAAATGTGGCCAATTGTCTGAACGCGGTTTCTGGAACATCTCCACGGCGATCCTCATCCGCATGGTGGCTCTTTGTGTCATCAGGTGTTTATCGTTTGTGTGATGTCCTGGTGAGGTAGAAAGTCAAGTCAAGTCAGGGAATTTGGGGATGGGGGGGGGGGGGTCCCCGTGTTTGGGATAGGCTAAAATTAAAGTACCAATTGCATATATGCCATTATATTTACCACTCAGCACATTATTATTATTATTTCAACATTGAGATTAAGCTCCCTTTGTAATAATATCATTTATGCCTATAAATAATTTTTACAGAAGAATGCTTAGAATACCTTGGACAGCCAAAAAGAGCAGCCAAGAGGTTTTGAAAGAGGCGGGAGCCTGAAGACATTTTCTCAAAGACATCAGAAGGAGACATTCGTCATTTATCGGCTATGTTATGAGAAGAAGGAAAATAGAACATGTTGTGACCACTGGAAAGATCTGTAGAAGGAGGGATAGATGAAGACAACGAGAGAAGATTTTTGATAGTCTTGTTGCATGGCATGGAGGTATGTCGGCACACGAACTGATCGTGGG